CCCCCGAAACTATGCGATTCCAACGGCAGAGTTTGCAGCAAGGGAACCCCTGATGCCGGTGGGATGGATGGGGCATGTACCAGAAGGACGTGTTCCAGGGTCTTGGAATACAGACAGATATTTCTAAGTTTAATGCTACAGGGGGAGAGGACTGAAACAGACTCAACAGCTGTCTCTCTCATTTGTTATGCACGCAGATGGCAGAATTGTTGGGGGGAACTCACTTGAGGCCGGCGATTATCTCCATCGCCGAGTTGAAGTTGCCGGTGTTCCAGCAGGTCTGGGCGACTCGCAATAGGCACGAGAGAAATGCCTGCCGCTCCTCGATTGTCGAGCCACTTGTTATTGTGTGGGTTACCCATGAGCTCACCTGAAACCGGGAAATTTCCAGTGAAACATTCGCTGTGGTGATGTCATTATTAATCTATTTGAGAATTTGTTTAGGTTTGAGTACTGGATTACCGAAATGGATGAGAATATTTTTTTTAGTGTAATAATTTGGATATAATATAATATATATAATTATATAATTAATATTACTATTAATATAAATAATAATATACGTTAATATAATTATATTATTATTAATATATAATAATATAATAATATTATATTATTATTTATATTAATATTTATATTAATTATTTAATTAATTTTATTACAATTATTAATTATAATTATAAATAATTTTTTTATCAATATAAAATTTAAAAAACAATTTGCATAAAATAAATAATAATTTTTCTGGAACAACTTTAGCCAGTTTTACGGCAACAATTATCCATCTCAGGACATTATTTAAATTTTCAACACGAGATTTTCTATTCCTGGAAATAAACCTTCTTTCAGAATATTTTTTTCACTGTAATAATTACGATAAAATTTAAAAAAATGTCTCATAATTTTGCAAGCAAAAAATCGTTGAATTCCCGTAAGACCACTGGAAGCTAATTCTCATCTGCTCTATTTGAAAGTTGTGTATCTCAATCGATCCAATCAATTGACCCGAAGGGGAAGAGTCCTAAGAGGAAAAATACAGAGCTCTTTCAGACCCAGTCGCTTTCAATCGCAGACTCCTCAAAGACCTCAATTCGTTCATCTGTCAAACTGAAACCTCCGGCAGGATTACTCCGAGTCGCAAACTCTCTCCCGGCTATTTATGAGAGGAATCTCACCTCTATTTGGGTTTGATTGATCCAGACGACTTTGATTTTAAGGAATAATAATGAGCTAAAGGCGAAGTTACCCTCAGAAAAAAATCAAGGGGAAAATTATTCGAATCAATTGAACAATTTTCACTGATTAAAAAAATTCATTCATTTCAAACAAATAAATTGTTTTCTTGAATCTAATAAAAATGTTGTTCGACATTAATAAATAATCGTTTGATGTAATTAAATCCTTCCGGTTGAAATGAGATTCGAAATAGTGTACCTCATTAAATCGATTGATGAGGATCTGCACAGAGAGGGCGGAGGTCGCGCCACCCAGCCACAGTGCCTCCTCATCTGTCTGGGTTGAGCTGTTGACAGTGCTGGGTGACTCCCTCGACTGATGTTGCTGATGCGCTGTCGGCGACGGTGGCGGTTTTTTAGTTGATTTAGGGTGTGATGTTAAATCTTGAGCCACGTGCCTCAGATACTCGCACGGCTGCACCTGATAGAACAACTGATACTCGCTCTCTGTCAAACGGAGAGCCACCTCCTCGGGGAAGTGCAGCAGCTTGTGCAAATCCTCCAGCTCCTCAGAGCTCCGAGGCTGCTGCGGCTGCGGCCGTTTCTCCAGCTCTGTAACATGTGTAATCGAAAATGTTTCTTTAATATTTATGACAATTGAAATAATTTATCATTTATTAAAATTCTTAATTGGATTATTAATTGGCTGGAACATTAATTAAGTCAAAGTGGCAGATGATATACATTTAATAATATTTAGGGATATTATAGTAAATAGTTGAAACATTAGTTGATTAATTTTTCAATAATTTTTCAATTGAAGAAATAGAATAAATATATTCTCAATTTAGAAAATTATATAAATTTTGTTTTAAAAAATGAAACAAAGTAAATAATAATAATAATAATAAATTGATCATAATATTATTTTTATAATTAATAATAACAATAATACTATTATTATTATTATTATTAATAGTATTATTAATTAATTATTAATAATAATAATAGTATTATTATTATTATTATTATTATTATTATTATTATTATTATTATTGATAATTTGTTTTTGGTATGAATTCCAAAAACAAAATTGAAATTTAAAATTGAGAGGTAAAAAATTGTTATTAAAATCATGAAATTTCAACTGAAACCTAGAAACTTTTTTTTTTCATCAGACAACCGTGAATATTCAATACTCTTGATATTGCGGAACGTGATTAAACATCTTTAATATCGCGGATCACACCGATTCAATCGCCATTGAATAAAACATGAAAAAAGTTTAATAAAATGTTCGTTTCCTTGGAAAAGTTCAATTGAGTAAAAAAATACGAGAGATAAAGAGGATACGACTCGTGACCTGGTTTCATAAACGCCAAGGAGTGGAGGATCCGGCTCAAGGTGGTCCTGGTGTCCGGTATAAAGCGTCCACTGAACAACGGGCTTTTCGGATATTTCGACGATGAAGATTAAAGGATATATATAGCAGCTTAAACTCCCAGGAGTGAAGGGGAAATAGAGACAGGAAGGATATGTATGATGTATGTATATGCATGGGCATGAAAATTGCTGAGTGGTGGCATGAAAACTCCTCTGTGCGCCATTTTCCTCCCTCGTATCATGGAAATTTGATGACTCCGGAGTGCTGAGACCCTTTAAAACTTTTCCCGAGTCCCCGCGGAGGAAAAATCGGCCGAATTGCAAACGATTAAACGGTAATTGATGACTGTACAATGAAATTCTCTCTCTCTTCGCTCGTCCTCTCGTGTTTGCACGGGGATGAGAAATTCTACAGCTGCGGAGCCTCCAGATGGCTCGGGTTTCGTTAAACCTGGAGTTGGCATGGCGCTGGCAATTCCGATAATGTCCCATTCGCTTTTATTTACGCGACAACTTATCTTTGGGTTCAGTTTCGCTCGTTAATGCGATTGTGGAGGAGACTGTTACTCAACCTCTCACCTAAATGTTTTTTATTATCATTCGCATTTATCTCCCGAGGAATTGTACGAAAAACCAATTTTCAGGGGTGATTATGCCAGGGGAGTGATGGATTTGAGTAAAAATTAAACTATTCGCTTTTCATTTTACTTTAACTTTTTCTTTTGTAAATTCATAGCTTGAGGTATTTATTTAATTTANAGTATTATTATTATTATTATTATTATTATTATTATTATTATTATTATTGATAATTTGTTTTTGGTATGAATTCCAAAAACAAAATTGAAATTTAAAATTGAGAGGTAAAAAATTGTTATTAAAATCATGAAATTTCAACTGAAACCTAGAAACTTTTTTTTTTCATCAGACAACCGTGAATATTCAATACTCTTGATATTGCGGAACGTGATTAAACATCTTTAATATCGCGGATCACACCGATTCAATCGCCATTGAATAAAACATGAAAAAAGTTTAATAAAATGTTCGTTTCCTTGGAAAAGTTCAATTGAGTAAAAAAATACGAGAGATAAAGAGGATACGACTCGTGACCTGGTTTCATAAACGCCAAGGAGTGGAGGATCCGGCTCAAGGTGGTCCTGGTGTCCGGTATAAAGCGTCCACTGAACAACGGGCTTTTCGGATATTTCGACGATGAAGATTAAAGGATATATATAGCAGCTTAAACTCCCAGGAGTGAAGGGGAAATAGAGACAGGAAGGATATGTATGATGTATGTATATGCATGGGCATGAAAATTGCTGAGTGGTGGCATGAAAACTCCTCTGTGCGCCATTTTCCTCCCTCGTATCATGGAAATTTGATGACTCCGGAGTGCTGAGACCCTTTAAAACTTTTCCCGAGTCCCCGCGGAGGAAAAATCGGCCGAATTGCAAACGATTAAACGGTAATTGATGACTGTACAATGAAATTCTCTCTCTCTTCGCTCGTCCTCTCGTGTTTGCACGGGGATGAGAAATTCTACAGCTGCGGAGCCTCCAGATGGCTCGGGTTTCGTTAAACCTGGAGTTGGCATGGCGCTGGCAATTCCGATAATGTCCCATTCGCTTTTATTTACGCGACAACTTATCTTTGGGTTCAGTTTCGCTCGTTAATGCGATTGTGGAGGAGACTGTTACTCAACCTCTCACCTAAATGTTTTTTATTATCATTCGCATTTATCTCCCGAGGAATTGTACGAAAAACCAATTTTCAGGGGTGATTATGCCAGGGGAGTGATGGATTTGAGTAAAAATTAAACTATTCGCTTTTCATTTTACTTTAACTTTTTCTTTTGTAAATTCATAGCTTGAGGTATTTATTTAATTTATTTAAATGAAAATGTTTTGGTTATGATGAATGGTCCTGTCGTTAATTAGTCAATTCCGAATGAAAGAATTCACGCAATAATTTTTTTCCGGAGGTTAATCGCCCGAATGATTTTTGCCCCTCGAAAATATTCAGCAATTAATGAAAACCTAACAAAAGCGAATTAACAGGGGGGAATTGAGGTATTAAAATTGACACGAGGACACTCGTTAAAGACCCCATTGAAGTAATTAACTACCGTAGCTACCTGCATCATATGGGGCAGCCAATTTCCCACCGCAATAGCCTTTTCCCGAGTGACTTTCATTGTAGGAAATTCTGAAAAAACACCTGTTAAACAACTAACCAATCCGATTTGCGTTCTATGTATCTCTCGGTCAGCTAACCGTATCGTATGAACTTGGTAATTACTCAGAGAGTTCACTAACAGAATGTATAATCGGCTGAAGCTCTCAAAGTGTCGAATATATTCGTGCGATATTCTGTAAAAATAGGGGGAATCAACTGTGATGAGAGAAAAATTAAAAAGTTCTCGAGCAAGAGTGACATTGAATCGAATTTAGGGGAAAATGGTTATGAAATTCGAAGTTGTAGAGAGAATTCAAGGAAATTCAAGGAAATTTTGTAACTTGATTGAATGTCCGATGGAATATGAATATTCAGAAAAAAATGACATGAATTTTCCATTTTTTCCTGCATTTTCCTGAATTTTCACGGAATAATTGAACTGAAAAATCAAGGATTTTATTGGTTTTCAGATCATTCAAAGAGAAAATAAAGAAATATTTGATTTTACAATGAAATATGAATATTCAGAAAAAAATGGCATGAATTTTCAATTTTTCCCTGAATTTCCCAGAATGTTCACGGAATAATTGAACTGAAAAATCAAGTATTGAATGAATTTCCCGACCATTCTCACAAAAAGTAACTGAAATATTTGATTTTTCAATGACAAGATTTCCTGAAAATTAAACAAGCTAAAAATTTCAAGGATTTGAAAAAAATTAAAAAAAAAATAATTCGATTTGAATTTCGAAGTCTCCGACATTAATAATTGCGTTCACCCCAGCAAAACATTTTCACTCCACAAGTTTATCAAGAAATATGTCTTCATTCCTCGCCTCCACCTCACCAGCAACCCCAAAAAAAATGAATAGACCGAGAGAACGTCAGTCTCGCCGTCGTACCCGGGAAATCTGTGTGCCGTTGGTGAAGCCTCGACGAAAATATCGGTGGTGAGTGCCGCTAGCACAGCGCAGTGACAGTGTGTTCAGGCTTTTTGCGTCGAGTACGAGGATGTATTCGAGAGGTTAAAAATCAGCTCAGTCGTTTTATGTGAATCCAATGTATAAAAGAGCGTCAGCGCGAGGGGGTGCGGGGGATGGAGCGATCGATAAAAGGCACTTTATCGTGAATTCAAGCCTCTGAGGGTTGGACTCTCAGCAGATGGGCGCGTAAACGTATAAATTGCCTCGTGTGGTCTCTCTGTGCCTCGTTAACCTTATTCTATGCAAACTCCCCTCGACGCAGGTCTCATTGGGCCACTGAGTGGGAGCGAGAGGTGGATATATTTCAACTGAGACAGGTGTTGTTGGGAGAAATTTTTAACTGCAATTACCCACGCAAATGAGAGTACAATGGACAGGATTTAACGCCTGAATGTTCACACTCCGAGGGACACAACAGCATTCCAATTGTTCTGATTAATTTTACATCACATTATATTTAAACTTTTTTATTTTTATTCGGGCTCGACTCAACATTTTACTTTTCGTTAGTACTGAACTTCAAATACAGCAAATGAAAGCCAAGAACTTGGGATATTTATTTATGAAGTATTTGGAATGGAGAAGCCCTCCTACTCGACTATTGAAATATTCAATGAACTCTCCTGCTTCTTTTACTTCGGTACTTCCACCACTCGGAAAATAAATCACTGCATAATTTTCAACCCTCAGACCTGGTATTTCCTCCTGCCTCTCGAGTGTGGTTCTGCTCGCAATAAAAATTATGAAAACTTGTTTAAGTTTCTCGCGCACGCTGCATTTTTCTTTCGAGATTATTTAGTCTGACCATTCAGGCATTTATCCTGATTTTTTCTCGCCCTTCCCATTTCTCTGCTGATTTTTTTGTATTGAGTGAGTCGATAAATAAAAGCGTCGATGAATAATTTTTTCGTGCAGAGGAAGAGTTATTGAATTCTGGAAAACGTTATTATTTGTGATGAAGAGTAAAATTAATTGATTTATTGAATGAAACTATTGAATCACTAATTTTTCCATGATATAAAAAATTATCATGCATTGACATTAATTGCATTTTCATCTACAA